CATGTAATTTGTGTTGCAGAGTTACAGGATACGGGAAGGGATGGAGACTGCTGGGATAACGACAGAGATGGAGACATACAGTGTCGGCTGGGGGATGAAAAAGGGGCCAGAGAGGTGGGAGCGCAGAGCGAGGAGCTATGGACGCCGTGAGGTAAATTCTCTTTGGCACTAATAGCTGTTAAATATTGGTTATGCTCCTCTGGGAGCCATTGGAATGGGAATGAGCGCACACGAACGACATCGGACGCATAATTTAGTAATCATGTCGTCAATGATCCCTTCGATCCAACTAACGCTTGGGCAGCCGTGTCATTTGCATCTGAGCGTGTTTATACAAAGTGTGTTTTGATATTCATCGCTCAATTTGTTGATCAAACAGCCGAAAAATTGTTGAACAGCTTTTCTCGAGTAAATTGACAACTCTCGTGATTTTTTAATGTATATTTAGCTGTTTGAAAAGTTATTTCCAATTTCGTGTATTTGAACGGCAGTCGAAGAGAGACCGTAATGATGCAAAGCTTATTAGTAGCGTTGAGAGTGAGAGGGGAGGACTGGTGGGGGGCAACTTTGCTCCACTCTGAAGGAAGCAAATTGCTTCATAAATAGAAGTGGGTATCTTCACTGGCAGCGTTCACCCGGGCATCTTACTCTTGCTACAAGGCTGGCTAATGAATGTTGGAAAAGGAGTATATCTGTATGAAACGAAACGTAGCACCACGGTAGTTGAGAGGTATACGTAGTTTTCTGCGCTTGAACCTGTCCAATTTATGCGTTTCAGAGTGGTAACGAGACCAGTAGGAGGTTGGCTAGGTTGAGATTGCATTGGAGATGGCCAAACTCGAGTTTTCCACTCCCCCCCCTCCCCCCCAGAGTGAAAGAACTATCTGGAGGAGGCGGCAATTCGGGGTTGGAAATGGTGATGGTAGAGATAGAAGAAGGGGTTGAAAAGTTGGGGATATAAGTGACGCTCCGTCAATATCGGAGGCATTCAAGTCGAGAGCATACTCAGGACTTCTAGGGGTTAGTGATCGATAAAAACGTATTTCAATGAGCACTTGGGTCCGAGGTAGGCTATTGATCTCGTTTAGGATGGTATAGTATGGGTAACGATTTTCATTGCAAACACATCAATTTTCAATGATGCATTTCGACCTTATTTCCACACAATCAATAGCTGATCGGTTTTCAATGGGTGGTAGGCTGATGTATGGAAATGGGTCGTCGATTTGGGGAATAATTCGGGATCATATTTGCTAGGCATTTACGGAAATTGAAAGTTTGATGAGGAATTGGAGTCACCGAAAATTCATTTTTCCAATTGAACGTTTACAATATTTATATACCTTAAATATGGGTTGACCCGTCGGGGGGCGTGTTATGAAATTCTCTCAAAAAAATTTTCAAGGTATAGAAAATGGATAACATTGTAAATATTGAAAGGAACCATTTTTATATGCCTCAAGCAACTATCTCGCTTCCTCTTGATACAGGAAAATTTCTTCCAAGATGCAACAATAAATTTATGAATAATATTGTATTGGAATCGATCGGGAGAGATTCTCTCATCGCGCCCCTAAAGTCAGGCGGGAGACCTGTTCCAGCCTTGGGTACCCTGGCCAGTAGTGGGGGGACAAGAGTAGGAAGCTTAGAGGACAGGCCTTTTCCCCCATGTAATGCGCCCAAAACGAAAGAGAGATTGTCTCACTGCGCGCTTAAAGAACGGTGGGAGGATCCCGCGCCTGCTGACGGGCTGAGAACTAGTATCAAAGAAGTTCTATGACCACTATTTTACAAAATGTATGAACAATCTCAGTTGGACACAATCCCGGATGGGCAGATTCTGATCGAGTGGTTAAACAGGGCTCGGTATTCGAGATATCTTCAAGAAATGTATTAGCAGTCGACATTTTTAGTGCTGCAGCACGGTGAAAGATGGCGGGCTTATTCTCATTTCAAGCGGAATTACTGACTGAATTGAACTGGCAGTTCCATGTCTATGTCTCACAAAACAAACTCAACACATTAATTCAACACACAACAAATTCAACACCAACAAAGTCAACACAATCAAACTCATCACAACACAATTTAAACATGCATAATAATCAACACAAATCAAACAAAAACACCATTACATGTACTCTGGATGTCAACAAACACATCGAAAATTTCACCATTGGGCATCCAAAGGAAAAGACAATAAAACTCCCAGCTATCTTCATAGCATCCTACCCATGTACATTTGAAATATAAATATATAGACACCAATACGAAAAAACAAATGAAACCAACCCAACCCAAATGATAAACCCATGGAATATACTCACTCGCGCTGATCAAATGTATATAACCACGTTCACTTAATAATATACTTAGATGTGTTTTTTGTGAAAAATAAAATGATATGTTCAAATAAATTGATGTTGAAATTGATAATGATGGAAAAACCGAATGATGAAATAGTTATGGTAGAAAATGAAAATGTTGAATTGACGTGTTGTGCTGAAATGACGCCGTGGAGTTTAGACGTGTCACTGAACTGGCCATCGGGCAGTGGAATATAATAACTTAAATCAGCCAGAGAAGTAAATGAGCTATTAGCTTCGGGAGAAAGGTTTCATACGGTGCATTTGGCAATGACGGCGATTTTTTAAACGATAATCATTAATTTTGGGCAAATTTTTGTGCGCACACTCGGTGGCGCCGGAAATTTCAATTACACAGGGGGGGAGGGGGGGGGGCGTACTACCGCAACTGTACACATCCACGGCTGTCCACAGGTTTGTGAAAAATACTGTGCACGGTCCTTGGAGTCGGTCAAACAGTGTCGGTAGTGTAGAAAATGCATTCGTTTTATTTGCAGTCGATATTAATTATAGATGTCGGCATGTGTCCCACTATACCACAAATGAGATCCGATCAATTAGACCCTTATGTATAGATATGCAAAATTTTTATTTTTTTCCTCATTGAAGTAGTTTTGAAAAAAATTGCGAGTTAATAAAAAACATTTGCTAGTTAGTACTTTTGTTAAATAAATTTTTGAAAAAAAAGGCACCCCTATTTCATTATTTCCAAAAAATTTTATCACCAATCGGTAGCAAATTGTTTGAAGATTTTTGCGAGTTAAGAAAAAATCGTCAATGCACTCCTATTATTGTGTAAATTAACAATTCCAATTTCAACTGAAAACCAGAGTTGATGACCAGAATTAGTAGCAGAGATGTCAGACATGATATGAATGTTTTTTTTAGCTCAAATGAAAGAGCAGGTCGAGAAATGGCGTGAAGAAGTCTTTAAAGATGACAAATCTCTCTAAAGATGATGTCTGTTTTCAATTAAAAAGCGCAATTGTGAAAACATTGTCCAGTGGCTTCTAGGAGTCTCCCCTGGTTCAACACCATCTTTAGAGGTCCTAGCACGCCATTTCTCGACCCGCTCTTTCGTTTGAGCTCAAAAAAACATTCATATCTTGTC